CAGATTTCAATGGATTGCCAGTGGGGACTTACCAGGCTTTTCCAAATATTCATCCACCTCAGATACCAGCCACTCCCCCATCATATGAATCTGTAAGTGTCTGAGTCTCTTTCATAAGCAACAGGAGTGAATCACATGAAGACAGCAAAATAATGACCACAGGGAAGGCAAAGTTTTGATCAACTCTAGTATTGGCATTGTCCTTGCTTTGGGATTCTTTTATTACTTCAACACTGCCCTGGACATACGGTGCTGGTGGCGGTGTCAATGGGAGCTGCATTGGTGGGTGTGCTTTTTCTGCAGTGAAGCAGGATTAGGAAAGAGCCACAGCACTTACAGTGATGTAGTATCCCGCTAGGACACTTAACCAATTAAATGTATTTGAACAGCAAGGCAGACACATTGAGCTGGAATAGTCCTAGTGTTGGAATATAGTTAGATACCAGTTTTATAAGTTTTTTAAAAAATAATTTTATTGAGAAATAGCAGACAGTTTTAAAACCGATTAGTAGGACAGTTTCAACAATTAACACATTGCCATTTTATGTTTTCAACACTCAAAGGAATTGGATTTTTTTTTTTTTTAACTAAAATAGGTGTTAGCAAATTTCAGGATATGGCATCAATTTCACATGTTAGTCTTGCAGTTAAAACCTTCCTACATAGCTAATGTAATGTTGTGAACTGCAAGTGGTTGTGTAACAGTTTTGCTTTAGAATTAGATTTTCTGCCAGCCTTGGTTTCTCAGTATACGCTTGGAGGTTTTTTTGTTCGTTTTGTTTTTGGTGGGCTCAGCCCACGGGAATCAAACCACGGACCCCTGTGCTTGCCTAAGCAGGCACATTAGACTGCTGAGCTATCTCGCTGACCAGGTGTATGCTTTTTGACACCTGTTTTCATCAGATGCTTTTCTGAAAAAATACATGGTTATGGATTTTCCTATGTAAATAATTTATTAAAATATTCAGTGTTCTTCACTTGCTTATTTTCTTTCCATTGGCTTTTATCTCTAGCTCATGTGTTTTACCTTGGACCTAAGAGGTTTTATTCCTGCATTAGTCTTGCTTGTGTTAAAGCATGACATACCTGTTTGTAGGAATAAGGTGGAACATTATCGTTAATATTTGAGGACTTGGTTCTTGTAGATAGGCATATTGGGTGGTTTAGTTCTCTTTGCCCCAAAGGTGAAAAAAGGGATCATGGATGTGTTAAAAATTTTTCTCTGTGTAGCAGTTTAGATTACTGCATGATTTCTATTTATTTGAAAGAAGGTAGGAAACGTGTAGAAGTAGAATGGCATTTTCTTTGGGGCAGGTTCTGTTGCTTTTGCTGAGCAGCTTAGCTCTTGGGAAACACGGGCTGCACCACTATTAGTACTTCCTCTAGTGATGCCATTGCTTTTTTTCTGTTGCAACAATCTTTGTGTTTCAGGTTGATGACATTAATGCTGATAAGAATGTCTCTTCTGCACAGATTGTTGGTGAGTGAGAAGGCCCAGTGTTTAATCCTCTGCTGCTTTCTCATTGTTCTTATTCATGGCTTGCTACCCATGTGTACCCTGCCCTTTCCCTAAATGTAGTATGGCTGGTACAGAGCTCAAGATTTCTTCCTTCAGAACATAAAAATATCACCCAAGTTCCCTACTCTGTCAAGTAGTATCACTGCTACTTTCCACTTAGTCTGATTTTTTTGTCTTCTAACTTTCTAGGCACCCTCAGGTTCTTGTTGGTGCTCTTAGGACCTCCAGTGTACCTGGAAGTTAGTTTTTTAAGAAAAAAAAGAGTAGGGTGGTATAAGTCATGTATGGGGGCACATGCTTGTAATCTCAGCATTTGGAAAATTTAGGCAGAAGTATTGTGAATTGAGGCCCGCCTGAGATAGTTGGAAGTACATAGTGACCCCAACTCTAAATACCACACACAGTGGAATATAAAAAGAGAGGGCAGATAGGCACATATCATGAATGTTTAGCCATCCACTCAATTACCAGCACTTCAGAAACCAGAGAGGAATACTTCTTAGCTTAGAGACAGTTAATTTTGTTATAGTATAAATTTACATTTAAAAAACACTGTAGTTTGAGTTTATGTATTTGGTACAGGTTCTCACTATGCATCTCGGCCTCGTAGTGATCCTCCTGTTTTTAGCCACCCCAGTGCTGGGATTACAGGCATGCATCACTACACCTGGTTTTGGTATCCTGCTCAGCATGCCTGGGAGTGGGACTGTACTGGGGATTGAACCCCAGTCCCTGTGCTTGCCTAAGCAAGCATTTAGTCCACTGAGCTATCCCGTCAGCCCTTGAATTTATTTATATACAGATCCAGAACTCCATGGTAGAGAAAGTTCTCATATTTTTTTCCATTTAGCTCCACCCTCATTTAGTTCTGACTTGCTGGAATTTAATTTTGCCTGTTATAAAACTTTAAATATAAGTAAAAGTATACTGTAGGGAGATAAGAGGATGGTTTTACTATAAAATAAAACTAGAAGACTATAAACACAGAACAAATCATTATGTCAAATCATAAAACATTCCCCCTCAAGGTTTAAAAAAGTGGTTCTTATGGAAGCAATATTTGTTACATAAACAACTAGTACCTCACTTTGGACTTGGGTCTTACGGGAGTTGAGCTCTGTGAAAGAGCAGTCTGTTTAGATGAATGATCTGTGAACCTGACCCCATGTACCAAACTTTGACTTCCCTTAAACTTGTTTTTCACTATGTGAAAGTACAGCAGCTAGTATTCAACTATAAATAGAAAATGTAGATGTTTTCATCTAAATTTTGGCTCCCACCCTAAACCCACTCTGTCAAAGGATATTGGCATCTGAGCCACTGACATTTCACTTGCCTGATTTACTTAGGTCCTGGACCCAAGCCCGAAGCCTCTGCAAAAGCCCCTCCCAGACCTGCAGAAAACTACAACTTTGTACTGCCAGAGTTGCCATCTGTGCCAGA